AAAGTAGAGGACAAAAACAGATGGCGAGAGCTGGTTTTCAGATGCAGTGGTGCCCCATGGTTGCCCCAACCACGGGATAGAAGAAGAAGAAGATCCTTTTGGAGATGCTTTGGTTGTTTGTTTCTTTTAAAGCCAAAAGTAGAGCTTGTTTCAGGGCCACGAACATGCCGTGGGTGGGTGGGAGGGTTTTCGATTATATAAATTGTAGCCTGCACCCGTCTCGATGTTTCGGAATCTAATAATCAATAAATGTATAACATGTAGGAACCTGGTTTTGTCGTTCGTTATTTGGTGGCGCGTGTGTCCCGAAAGCCGTCTCCAAACGTAGCACTGTCCCTGCAGTTTTATGCAAAACAAAATTCTGAAATTATGCAAACTGAGCCCGAAAATGTGAAATTATGCGATTCTGTTAAATTTAACAAAGAATGATAAAGGAAAATAATCAGAAATTGTGCCAAAAAAAATAATCAAATTTTGCTAAATAATTATGCGGGGTGCGTAAAACAACGGGGGACTGGAAACAACCACGCTCTGGTGTTGGTGGATCAGAAAGGCGGCGATTTCAAAGCAACGTCTGAAACGACTGGCTGGTATTGGTATTGGTATACATGTACCGGGTACACTCGTGTCACTGTCAGCGGTTGGTCTTATGCATTGCCCCGGCTAAATGGTCGCTTCTAAGGACAAGCAGGCTAACCCAGATTTCGGGAGTTTCCTCAAGAAATCTTGACCTACGCCAAAAGTGGGCATTGCCCTACCTATAGGAGAAGTTTGGTTTCATTGGTGTGTATATTTGTTTGGTTATAGAAAACTCTCCTTGTCTTTTAAAGAAACTGAACAAGGGGCAAAAACTTTACCTTCGATTTTCTCAAAACAGCATTTTTCGGGATAGCCCCCTTGTGCTTAAAAGCGACCAAATCTAGGATTACTGACCAGTCCTGTCCATGCTGCGTGCGAGTCTGGATCACGTCGGGGTCACCAATGTAAAGTTGTCAGATCTTAGTCAGTGGCGTAGGCTTAGCCTGAAGCGCATTATACCAGCAAGCCAAGAACACTAAAAACAACCGAACATTTATATATATATACGGGATATAGCCTACACGGTTAAGTATGAACTCACGACGAAACGTGTGCAAGCATCACGTGCGATCGTGAATTACTTGTAGTAACGCTACCATCATATTTATCAAATCAGTAAAGACTGTACCTTCCAACTCGCAGTTTAAGGTCATCAGCTGACAAAAAGAATGTATTTTACCATCTATGAAACTTAAAACAATGGGTGAAAGGGCATTTGAATACCAAGGCCCCAAGATCTGGAATGCTTTACCAAGTACATTGTACTTTAAGAGAGAACAAATCATTTGATTCATTCAAATGTCAGCTGAAGTCGTTTCTGTTTTTAAATTAATAAAATGAACAATTGGAGTAATTTTCTTTAGTCAGAACACGTTTTATGTTACGTTACTGTTGTACTGTATTGTAAAGCGCTCAGAGCCTGTGTTCTTTAATCGGAGTTTAGCGCTATATAAATGTCATTTATTATTATTATTACACCGGGACCTATTGAATGAAAGGCGAACACCTGAACCTCTAGGCCACGAGGGGCACCAGTGAAATGGTCACACGGTCAAGTCGACACAGTTTAAAAAACGAGTGGTGAGTTCACCGAAAAAAAATCCTCCAGATAACAGTGAATTTGTCACAGCATTTCCCCCGTGCAAGTGTAAGCCACCAGCCATCTTGTACCATTTTACTTTATAATTGTTTTTATTGCATACAGTAAGGACATACACATTTTAACAGGTTTTATCATATTAATATTGCACCCAAAAATGTGTCCGTTTTCTCTTTAAAATGTTGAAAGGTTGACATGGGTAGATTTTGATTGAATAAACTCTGATTTCGTATTTTTTTAAAAATATTATTGATTAATGGTTGACAAGTGTGGGTTTGCCTGCATATCCACGGTGAACTCGCCACACGTTTTTCACACGTTCCTGTGAGTGATGAGATAACTGTGAGGAGATCATAGGAGTATGTGATCACTTCACCGTGTGACGAGTTAACTAGAAACCGCCACGAGAGCCCCCGATTTAGAGACTGCTGGGGCAATGCTAGTTGTAAAGTGCATCGATGGAGCTTGCTGTGGAGTATGGATATGGGCTACGGTATATATATATTTTTTAATAAACCAGTTTCATTAAAAAATACCAGCCAAGGTACAAAAGTTTGTATAAATGCACAGAAAATTGAGGTAGCCAACCAGGTACCGGTAGGCCTACTTATACTGGGGGTAATTTGCCATTTTTACACAAAAAAGAAGTTTCACTAAGATATATCTAGATTCTAGATGTCTCACATGATCGTCGGTCGTGGTTAGCTGGAAAATAATGG